CGATGCGCCCTGGCCGCTGCTCGCCTCCGCCGTCCGCGCCATGAGGAACCGCCTGCCGCGGCCGGACTTCGTCCTCTGGACCGGGTGAGGAAGGGCCGGGGTCCCGCCGGGAGCGGGGACTCGCTGCCGGGATTCAGCTCAGCTCCTCCGTCCTGCCGCTGGGGCCGAGGGACGGGCTCTGCCCCCTGAGAGCTGCTGCTCTGAGAGGAGAAACACGGAACGTTCCCGGGGCTGGCGGCGGGCGTTGCTCTCGGGCACGATCCTCCCTGCTCCGGGGGCTGCCGGGCTTTGGATGGGAGAAGGGGCAGCCCGAGGGCAGGGGCGTGAGGAGCTCGTGGGGACCCGGGGCTCTAGATGGGAATCGTTTTGAGAGGGGAGGTGAGGATCTGCCCTATAATGCAAATGGAGGCTCAGGGGAGAGCGCAACCTCAACGAGGCCTCCTGATGCCAGCGAGAGCCCGCAGCAAGCTCCAGCAGTGAGAAACGGTGAGGTAAGGAAAGGATCACAATTCATCATCGTTCCTATTCTTTTAATTATTGCCAACCCTGCCTGACTTAACACAAACTCTGAGTGCCTGAAATGCTCTTCCTGTTGGCACACCTGTAAGAGGCTCTGGGATGGAGAGTGCTGCAAACCAGACTTGTGGCTGCTACAGACTTCTTCAGACTGTAAAGAGGCATCTTGGAAGATTTATTTCAAAAAGGGGCTGTTTGCCGTTAGAAGTATGAAGAACCTCCCTAAATGGAAGCTGTTTTCTCCTAGTTTGGTTTCCAGAAGTGGGCACCCAATTCCACAGGAGGCCTCAGTAGCACTTACAGACAGTAAAAGTTTCATTTTGCATGATTATTGTGTGTATGCCCTCCTGTAATGTCTGCTTTTCATCTGACAGTGCAACATCAACCTGTAATTTGCTGTAAATCCTAGTTTGCAGTGCTGTTGCCTGACCCCACGTTTTTGTTTTCTGTCTCTGTGGATGATTTTTCCTACTTAAAGTAGTTATCAGTCCTTATGACTTTATGTTAATTTTTTTTTCCTTCAAACTATTTCCCCCCATTCTTTGACATAATTTTGAATTCTGATCTTCCTCTTCGATGGGCTTGTTGACAGCCCAGCATCATCTATGAATGCTGTAAGTGTATTGGTGAAAGCACAGAAGCGTGTGTCTGCCGCAGTGTTGGACACACTCAGTGATCGCTTGCTGGAGGCATTCCTGTGTCCGTTGCAATGAGCGTTGTTATGCTGCTGCTCAATCAGCTGTGCAAACAACTTTGCTTCACTATTGCCGATCAGATGTTGACCCGAGATTGCAAAGTGCTGTTCCTTGCAATATTTCCAGTCAGCTTTAGCGTCTATTAAATGCCCTGAGGCAGAGTGAGCCTCCACTTCATATGCTTGTGCACAAGTTTATCAAGATTTATAAAGTGGAGCCCATTTTCACTTTGAACCAATTCCTTGAAACTCCGTGAGTGCCTTGGCCAGTCAACATAGCACTGGTTCCTGCCCCCAAAAGCTCCATCTTTATCTTCTAGGAGGCACAAAGAGCAGCATGTATGCAGGTTTCTCTGCCTTGCTTATCGCTTTAAGCTTATGCCACAGTGACTGTGCCACTTTTTTTTCCAGAGATGATACTCCTCATGTCCCCAATGAGAAGCTTGGAGAAGAAAAGGTTCTGCACATAATAGAAAACCTGACTTCTCTGATAAAAGAGGCATTTCCAGGTAGAATTTGAGGGGGTGAGAAGGGGAGAGAGGCAGAGTCTTGTGGGAGGAGCTTACCAGGGTGGAGAAGGGGAAAGGCACGGACAGGCTGTAGTCGATGGGACCTGTTTGTCCTCTTCCTAGTTGCTGCATGGCATGAGGCGTGTCTGAACTGAGGCGTCTGATGCGCACTCATTGTTTCAGGTTAACTCACCCAGAAGAGGAAAAAAAACATTTCTGTAATTGGTCATTAAGGCAGAAAAGGCTACAAGATTTCCTCACACTTAATCCATGCCAGCAGTGGGGGAAGGATCGTTATTGATGGTGAAAGCTCACTGATTCCTCTGTAGAGCTGTGGCTTTGGGCTGGCCTGTCCCAGGGAGGGATGGTTGTTGCAGTGTCGTGCCACATGGCTGCGGTGTGGGTGACGTGGCTTTTGCAGAGTCCTCAAGCCATGCTGGTTTTCCAAGTCTCTGAGTGTTTCAGGGAGCTTTGGTGCTGGGGAACTCTGAATCAAGCATGGATTCCTCTGTGCCTCCTTTTCTCTGTCTCTAGATACTAAAGTCTATGCGGCAATGGGCAATCATGACTTCCACCCCAAGAATCAGTTTCCGGGGAAGGAGCACAGAATCTACAACCGAACAGCTGAACTGTGGCGTCCGTGGCTGAATGATGCTTCCATTCCTCTTTTCAGAGCTGGTATGGCTGCGCTCTGGGGAGACGGGGGTGGTTAGGAAAATACCACAAATGGTTCTCCCTGCTTCTATGCTCAGAGGAGCAATATTTGTAGAGTGTTTCTGGAGGAAGAGTCCAATTTAATGCTGATTCCTAGCACTGAGTTCTCCTGCTTGCAAGAAAAGAAATTGCTTTATGCTTTAGTCCCTCCTGCTTTTGTCAAGTTACTGGAAAGTGTCCCTACAGAGGATCCAGAGTAGTGAGCTTCAGTGGAGAAAAAAAAAGATCTTTTAAGAAGGCTGCTGGTGCAGGCAGCACTGTGGCTCTAGAGCTGCCTGGCTCCTGGTCCCCATGCAGGGGCTCCCTTCACCTTGAGACCTAAGCACAGCAAGAGGCACACAAGGAGAGGAGTCTCTCCAGATCCCCACTTCGGGGTGGTCAGAGCACTGCTGGCCCCTTGTCCAGACGGTGACTGCTATGGCTGTTGCCAAGGAGAGCTGAGAGGGATGGAAGCAAAGGGGTCACAGCAACCAGCATGACCAGACCTCCAGCTCTTTCCCTCTTGGTTGCATTTTTTCAGGAGCTTACTACAGTGAGAAGCTGCCCAGCCCAATGACACAGGGGCGAATGGTTGTCCTCAACACCAACCTGTACTATGACCAGAATGACGAGACGGCCGGTGAGGAAGATCCTGGAGGGCAGTTCCAGTGGCTGGAAGAAACACTGACCAATGCCTCTAGAGCAGATGAAATGGTATTAGAAGTGAATAAAACTTTGTAGAGGGCTTCCCCCAGCCTGGAAGCTCTTTTCACTCCTGCTCTCCCCTCTGTGCACTCACAGCAGGACGGTGCTCTGTGAGGAGTGTGGGCTTTGTGCTCAGTGCCACTCTTGCTTTTGTAGGTTTTCATTGCGGGGCATGTCCCTCCCGGCTTCTTTGAGAAGAAACGAGGCAAGTCCTGGTTCCGGAGCAGCTTTAATGATCGATACTTGAAAATCGTGCAGAAGCACCATGGAGTGATTGCTGCCCAGTTTTTTGGGCACCATCACACGGACAGCTTTCGGATGTTTTACAGTGATACAGGTACCGGCTCTGGCCACCTAGGCATTTGCATGATAGCTCTGCCAACTTCCAGAAAATCACGGAGTGGCTGTTAGCTGAGTGCAGCTGAGAAGCCAGAAAAGGCTTGTGAAATGCTTTGGTCAGCAAGAGATAATAGAGGTTCTGATCTCCATCCCCAGCCTGTAGCTCCAACCCTCCCTCCTGTCTACCCTCAACTTTTTATCATTTCTGCTCAATGCCTCGCAGCTTCTTGCCTGATCCCTGTTAGTGGGTTTTGGACATCAGCTGAGACATAAGGGAGCAATTATGAATCTTTGCACTGGGGTTACTGGTAGTGCTCTCGGTCTCCTTTGCTGAGCATGGTACTTTTGCACACTCTCACTGCAGGAGTCTTCAACAGCGGTGGAAAGGCTATTCTCAGCTGCAGCAGTCCCCTGTTCAATCCCTGATGCCATTGAGTGTCCTGATCTTTGTGTGTGCTGTTGTGACTAGGGCTGGGGACAGAGCTGCTGTCTGCAGAGTGATCAGTTACCAGGATGCTCACTGCAACATGAACAGGGTGTGATACACACCAAGGTCTCCCATTCATGGGTTGTTTTGCCTTTCTGTAAGGTTCTCCAATCAATGTCATGTTCCTGGCCCCTGGAGTGACTCCCTGGAAAACAACCTTACCTGGAGTGAACAATGGAGCCAACAACCCTGGGATTCGGGTGATCAGCTATGATCCAGACACCCTTCAAGTGCTGGTAGGGGAGCCCCATGTGTTACACACTGCAGTTCTAGGAGAGTACTTCAGCTCCTCCATACAGCTTTAACAGGCAGGACTACAGGAGCCAAGTGACTATGTAGGAGAGGACCCCAACCAAGATATTTCAGCCTCATGTCTAGCACAAAGATTTAGTAAGAGCATCAGTGAGTAAAGGCCAGGTGACTGCAGTCAGCTGGCCCTGGCCTTCTGCTGGGATGAGTTCCCCAGGGCAGTGCAGGGCGGGTTTTGTCATATTTTTTATGTCTTTAGCTAGTTTCCTTTGACACTTGCTTTGCTACCGAGGTAATGTGGATTGCAGAACTCCTCTTTGAGGACTAACAGACTTGTCAAACTCCCTCCAAAAATTTAAACATTTAGAAAATTATTTGAGTCCCCCTACTTGCTAAATTGATTCATCTGTAATGGATCTGAATTTAGGTGAATTGTAGGGGCAGCTTCTGTTTCCTCTGTCTCTTATTAGCAAAGAGGTAGAGGATGGCATGTTTGTGCCTTTCTTTGCAAGGGATAAAGCAGCTCTGTAGATGCTCTGTCTATGTGTTTATAGCATGAGAAATGAATGCTAAAATACACTGTGGAAGGCTAGGGAGCTGGTGAAGCAGAGAGAAAAAGGGCCAGAGACTGAGAACAGAAGTTGTGAAAAACTTTATTTTGCTCACAGTTGAGAAAATAACTCCACTCAGTAATTAACACCACTGTGACACTTGCTTCTGCCAGTGGGCAGTGCTGATAGTAAATAACAGTGGTTTTGGAACAGACCAGGCTCGAATTTCCTGATGTTTACAGATAAAAGTCAAGTAGAGCAAAGCCATCCTCTTATCCCTTATGAAACAGGATGCTTTTGTGGTGAGTTCTGGAGGCTCTCGCCTGAGGTCTCTGTCCCCAGGTTCATGTCACAGTAGGCAGCTGCTGCTGGGAGGCAGCTCACCCCACGCCGGGCGGGCGATGCGCTGCCTGCGGTGAGCGTGCGGGTGGCGGATGGAAGGATTGACACGGGAATGACTTAGTAGGAAATCTAGATTTATTAATAACTAATAGCAATTTATCATTACAAAATAATTCAGAAATGTTGAAAGAAAGAAAAGCGGCTTATTTGCAGATTCTAAAATGACAAGATTCACCGTAACTTACCTAATGGTACCTTAATTTATACGTATATGCACAAAATGTACACACACACACACACACAGAGAGACAAAGGTATTTGGATCCAGTAGAATGAACACAAAACGTACAAACACACACACACAGAGACAAAAGTATTTGGATCCAGTAGAATGAAGTATGTACCCACACACCAATAAACAGAGAAAGAACGGGTGAGAGAGAAGTGAGCTCAAAGAAAAATTTCCCTCTTCTCGAGTTTAGAGCAAATACTCCCAATGCCTCAGCGTTCCTCAACGGGCGGTAATTGAGACTCGAGCGGGTGGACTTTGCCCCAGCCTTCCCTCAGCTCTGGCAGCAGAAAACACCTTAAGGGTTTTGGTCCCCGAGAAGCTCCCAGCTCAGGGGAGATGCAGGTCACAGCCCACTGCGATCCAGGAGAGCTCGGAGGCTCTCTCTTGTGGTCACCATTTATAGGGTCCAAGATAATAGACTTTTGTCAGGTAACTTCTGGTGTCTTCCAGCAGCTGCACAAGAGCTTGATGAATGTGCAGCTCTGTTATTGTTCCATTTGACCCCATCCCAGCCACAGGTGTGCCAGGCCATTGGGAGATGATGGGCTGTTATAACTGTTTCTGAGCAATCCGGAGGGGCAGGAGCCAGGCTCATCCGTTATCAGTCCTTATCTCCAGAGATGGGTGTACAGCTGGGGGGGAGGTGGGTGGAATCACACCAGCACCAAGCAGCCCAACAAGGAGGGGCAGGGAGGGGTGAGAATTGCACCACCACAGTGCAGTGCTGACACAAGCACGGGGGAGAAGGGTCCAATCACACCCAAGTCAAATGTCTCCCTGGAGGGCCCATCCTTTCCTGATTTGTCCTCATTCTGTTTTTTCTCTCCCTGCAGGATATGGTGACTTACTACCTGAACCTAACTCGTGCCAACATGATGGGCTCAGCGTGGGAGGAAGAGTTCCCAACGTGGGAGGAAGAGTATAGACTGACAGAAGCCTTCCAAGTCCCTGACGGCTCTGCGCACTCCATGCACATGGTGCTGGAGAGGCTGTTGGAGGATCCCCACTATCTGCAGCAGTACTACGAGTTTAACTCTGTCAGATATGACCTTGCCCCGTGTGACAAGGCCTGCCGCGTTGATCACGTCTGTGCCATCAGGGAAGTTGATTTTACGAAATACGATGCGTGCGTTAAAACCAGCAGCTCTGCCTCTGCCATCATCAGTGTTTGGCTTTTGTTCCTCTGCTTGCTCGTAGGACTTCTCAGTCCCCAGCAAGTGCTGCAATGACTGAGAGCAAGGGAAAATGAAGAGAGCCCAAGTTCATGATGCACGAGCAATTGTGAATGCTTTTGGCATTGAGAACTCACTTGAAAACCAAGACAAAATCAGTGGCTTTTACTAAAAGCTCTACAATGTTGATTTGAAATCTTCTAGAGAAGCTTGCTCTGTCGGGAAAGGATAGTAATTGCTGCAGTCTTTCTGTGCCAGACTGGCTTGTGTCAGGGAGTTTCTCTCCCCTGGGCTGTGGCTGGAGGTAGTCTGCCTCCCCGTGGACGAGAGCTGTGAGCTGCCACGTGTTACCGAGGAGTCTGCTGCCAGGTGGCTTCCTCATGCTGGTGCACGCCTCTCTTCTGGAAAGAGCACACAACGGGCAACCCAAAAGGTCTTGTTTTGGTGACCTTGTACAGCACCAGCCTTGCCTTCGGCTTACGAGCAAAGCCAGGTGAGATTGGTTCTTCCTTTGACAGTGTATGAACTTCAGCAGGTTTGGGCTATGACTTTCACATATCAGTGCCCAAAGTGAGGCTCCAGGGTAAGAAGCTTGATTATTATTATTTTTTTAAATTTTAATTTATTTTTTCCCCCAGTGGCTGAGCATAAACAGCTCTTCCCTTTTGTGCTCTGTTAACTCACATCCACTTGGTTTCTTCCTTCAGCTGGGCATTGCAAGCTGACCTTGACCACTTCACTGTTAAACACGGAAGGATTTGGTGATTTCCCAGCCCGGGGCTTTGCCAGCTTCTCAGAGAGCCTCCAGGCAGGCAGGACAAAGTGATGGTGTTGGACCCTTTAGGTAGGGGTGAATGAGACGCAGAAGGAATATTGGTGTGTCTGTCAAAGGCAGCTCTGGGCTCTCCCAGGGGTCTGACGTGGCAGAGCAGGAGCTGAACGTGCAGCTGGAGTGTCCTGGTTAGAGTGAGTGGAGGGGTTTTGGTAGTGGGGGAGGGGGTCACAGCATTGGACCCTGTGAGAAGCTTCTCAAAGCCCCCCCTGGCTCCATGCTGGACCCACCTCCACACCAAGGCTGGGCCGGTTAGTGACACCTCTGTGATAATGTATTTAAGAAGGGGAACCTGGGTGGAGGAGTTAGAGTTGTGAGAACGAGTTGCAAGGAGAACATCTGTTAAAGGATTTCACCAGACTGGGGGTACCTGCCAGCACCACAGGGAGTGGCAACAGCTCACAAAAAGTGCCCTCTTTCTATATGATATAACACACAATACAAAGAGTCTTCGGTGATTTTCCAGGAACTCTCAGCTCTCAATTCATCATTAATTTCAGAAGTCCGTTGTATTCCACAGTTTCAGCTAGTTCTTATTGTTCTAATTCATCTTCAGACACCACTGCTCACTGATGCAGTCATCATGGTTACTCATCTTCTGAACAATCTTCATCATAATTCACTTTTAGACTTGACAAAAGACTCAAAAAGTTCTATTTAACATATACTTAATCTCTGTCTAGCTTTTCAATACCTAGCCTTTCTAAGTTGCTTGAACTGTCAGTGTTGTTTCTAGAGCACCTGTGCTCTACTAATTAAACCCATGAAATAATATCTATTTATTAATTATTCCTGCTATTAATAATATCCTAAGAGAAAAGAGTTTTCTAAAGCTTGTTCCTTTTACAACATCTATGCGAACACCAAGGTCAGAGGAAGAACAGAGGAAAAAACATGGGGGGGAGGGGGTGCTGCACGGAGCAGAGCCCTGCACCCCCTGGTGAGACAGCAGGGCCCCCCCTGCACCTGTGGGGGTCACCGGGGCAGAAGGGAGGGGTGGGGGAAGGTGTTTTTAAGGTATGAATGCTCCCCACGGCCAGACTCTCTTTGTTAGAGTGGTGGTGGTGTCTGTATTAAATTTATGTTCTTTTTTCCTTCCCCTAACGAGTCTGTCCTTTGCTTGTGACCGTAATGGGTGAATCACACCCACACCCCCCGTCCTTATGGGCGCCCAGACCTGCTGCCGTGGGCTGGTTCGGGGTGCTTGGGGGGCTCCTGGCCGGCCCTAGGGCAGCCGGTTCCGTGCGGGAATCCGGTAAGTGCCGGGGCCCCCCTGCCCGCTCCC